GCACCCTCCAGGAGCAGTGGCCGTGCGCAGTCCCTTTTCCTCCGTTCTCTTCTGGGTTTTGGGCACACACACAGGCCAGGCGCTTTTTCCAAGCTGCCACTGTGGCAGTCCACTGTGGCAGTCCAGGTACTCAGTCCCTGCAGTCAGCTACGTGGGATCCAGCCACCTTAACCTCCACACCACCTCCGGGCCCTCTGTTATCTTTTTATCTTTTTATTTTTATTTTTGCCAGAGGGTGCAAGCACTCATCAGAGAGAGAGAGAGACAGGTAAAAAGCCCCCCTCCAATGGGATATGGTCACACCGCAGTCCTCTCTCCTCCATCTCTCTATCCTTTCAGATGCAAGTGTTTATCAAGACTCCACATGTGGGACTCGAACCACGGTCAGCCATTGGGACCTGGATTCCTTAACCACTAGGCCATGAGGCCAGCCCAACATTCTTCATTACTGTAAGCCAGTCAAGTCAACACACCGACCCTGTCTTTGCACCCATTTCTCAAAATGGGACCTAGAGACTTAAAGAATATTCGGCTATTGAGGCCAGCAGGTGGCATAGTGGTTGAAGTTCTGGACTTCTCCGTAGTCAACTGCAGTTCAAGTCCTGGACACAATGATTGAAAAATGTTGGTTGTATGTGCGTGAGTGCCCAAAATCCCAAGAGAAGAATGGAGGAGAAGGGATTGCAGAGTGTCCATCTCCCCTGGGGGTGATTTCTCGCTTTCTGTCTCTCTGGCTCTCCAGCAAGGGCCCAAGTCCCATAGCAATAGTCTCTCCCTCGCTTTCTTTTTAAAGATTTATTTATTTATTTAATTCCATTTGCTATTGTTATTATTATTATTTTAATTTAACCAGAGAGAGAGAGAAAGGAAAAGGGAGAGAGCAAGCAGCCACGTCTGGGATTTGAACCACGGTTGGCCATGTGGGAATCCAGTGCGCCCAGCCACCACACCACCTGCCGCTCTCCAAAAGTCTCTCTTTAAAAAAAAAAAAAAAAAAAAAAAGAGAGAGA